TCTGTTTTGGAACTGTTTGCTAGAGTGCCACGTTTGTATTAGTTCACTGCACACACTTGTGCTCAGAATTTATGGATAATTGGCTGGGCTTTCAAAACTCTCTCTAAAAATATCTGTGCACAGTTTTAGTTAAAAGTTTTCTGTGATTACTAAATGACCTTTTGTTTGGAAAATCCAACCACACAGTCCTAATAATACATGTTCAAAATTGCATACGAAGAGAAATAATGCCTATATATTGCTATTTGGGTTATTTAATAGTGCTTAATATCTTTATTGACACTGCAGAGATCTAGCAGCACTCTGCTTTGTGTACATGCATGTGGATTGCAGTTAAGTTTCTGCTTTTCCTGTTGGTCTTTGCAAAATGAACAGTGCCTTTCTTTACTCTTGATCATGTTCCCACAGAGTTGAAGACTTAGGTTTTATATCGAGCCTGAAGAATATGCCTGATCAGGACATCTTAGCTCCTGCTCCAGGATAGTAAACAGACATGGTTTGGAAGCTAAGCGGTGGTGTTAATCCTTCTGTGATTGCCTGCTGCTCTCTCTCTTTTTCTTTTTTCCTTTTTTTTTTTTTTTTTAAATGGGTATCAGTGAAGGGGAAGCCTGAGTTATAAGGGTTGCTGTTTTCTGGGCAGACCTTTCATTGACATGCAATGTGTTTTCCCTGCAAGCTGATCGATGGTTATATTGAGGCAAATGGTAGTGTAACATATAAATGCAAAGGAGGGTATAAGCCTGGATGTCTTGTCTTGTCCATTTTACCACTGGTATATTGATTTATTTTGTAGCTGTTAAGCCTCTGCCCCCCCAAGATTCCTATCCTGCTTTCAGTTTCCCTTTTATTTCTCTTGCCCAAACAGCAATGAAAACTGCAGGATTTGTTGACACAACTGTTTGGCACTGATATGCAAGGCTTGTTTAGAGTTGAATTCCCTGAAGAGTTTGTTTCTCTATTTTCATAAAGATCTGTGGGGCTCTGTGCCTTCCCTTTTGATTATTAGATCACCTTTTAGGTACAGTTTAGCTAGGGAAACAGTTGAAAGGACCCCTCTTCTAGAGAGCCATGTTGTCTTAGGTAATGGAGATAACTCCAGAAAAAATTGAAACTCTTCTTAAATGTCCTGTCGACTGCAGAGTATGCAACTCTGCTCCCCTCTTGCATTCCTGAAGGCAGGAACACATTAAACAAATTAAAGGGTAAGAATCAAATATTTGCCTTTCTCCTTGTTTATTCTGTTCCATTTTCTGTTTGTGTTTGGTTGACTGTGTATCAGGAAAGTCCTGGCATAGGTCCAGCTCAGCCAAGCTGTAGGTATTGGCTGTTGACTGGGATAAATTTGTACAATAGGGAGACAAAGATTATGAGAAATGACTTCTCTTGCATGGATGATAGCATAGGTGGAATTAATGCTCCAGGGTGTTTGCAGTCCCAAACAGACCATCGTTCCTCAGGAGGCTGGTTGAGAGATATTGAAGGCAAAGACGACTAATCTCAGTTTAGTGAAATTTTATGTGCATTATGGCTCTGTTTTGTGCTTTGCAGATGTTATGAAAGTGTAGCTTGATTTAATCACTATGCAGGATGTACCACAAAAAAGGTAAGAGTGTCCAAAAAGGGTGGGGTTTGTGTGTTCACAGGCAGAAAAGCAATCACCACTTGCTTTCAGTTCTAACTCTGTATGGCTGTTAAGACACAGGAATCAGTTGTTCGGAGAGGTGAGTTTGCTAGCCAACTGATGTTCAGTGTAAGTCATCCTGTTTGCCAGCATTTTGTGTATGTTCCTGGCTGTGTTTCTAAGTGGCTGACTGTGGGTGGACCAACCTGCCCAGGAAAGGAAGACTTTCCTTCCCCAGTAAGGGGTGGCTGTACATAAACGACCCAGACTTTCTGTCTGCCAGTAGTCTGCCTGGGACCTGTCTGGTTTTGGATAAATAATGAATGCCTTTAGGGGAAGCATGTGATGGGGCATGTTTGATGCAGTGTAGAGAAGGCTGTAGGATATGTCTGGAGCATGCAAGAGGAATGGAAATGTGCTGAGGAAAATAGCTAGATATTCAGATGCCAGAGAGAAAAGATCCTACCAGAACAAGATAAACAGCTTTCTGAGCTCAGTCAGCACCACCACCTGCACTGGTTGATAACAAAGACTACACATCATCTTCATAAACCATTGCTCCTCAGAAGAACGGAGTGTTTACATCCAAGCTGTTCCAAGGGACTTGCTTTGAAATTTGTCTTACTTGTAACAATTGAAACCCCCTCCATGATCCACATTTGAAAACAAAACATTCGATTTGGGATGGAATAAGAGGCTTCAGTCAAATTGAAACC